ACATGCTGCTGGAAAAGAGATGCAAGGGACACACATTGCTGAGTGAGACACCGAGGGACCAGCACTGCTGGGAAAGAGACCGTGAGAAACTGTTGGCTGAGGGACAGAGGGCTGGGAGAGAGGCTGAGCATTTTTCCTGAACTCGAATTGTAGCCTGGTGCTTCCCTAATAAACCCCATAATCTGTGAGCTCTGTGTGGCCACTGTAGCGAATTAGTGAACCCAGGAGAGAGGTGGTGGGTGCTTTGGGAGGAACAGTTGGAGAAGGGCTGGAGGGAGGCAGCATGTCTGGCCTGGCAGGAATAGGCCTTGGATTATTGATGATGACTCTGTCTTCCTCTTATGGGATTAGAGGAGGTCAGAACATGTGGCCTCCTCGCCCTTTTTGCAGTCATGCTGTCAGAAGGGACTGTTCCCTGGAGAAAGATATCATGCTTGGTAAAGTGGAGGGTCAATGAAGAAGGGGAAGGCCCTCAATAAAATGGATTGACACAGTTGCTGCAACAATGGGCTTAGGTATAGCAAGGATCATAAATAAGGCTGGCACAGGACCAGGCAGTGTTTTGTTCTGTTGTGCCCAGGTTCACTATGAGTTGGAGACAACTTGATGGCACCTAACAACTAACAACAACTACTAGATTAATGGCTATCTCCATAACTAGATTTTAAGCTTCAGAAGAGCAGGAACTATGTCATATCTTTGCTTCTACATGTAGAGTACATGTAGTACTACCTGAATGTTAAATGAAAAAATGAATGAGCAAAGACTTTCAAATCATTTATAGGTGGCAACCCAAACCACAAAACCACTGCTGCTGAGTTGATTCTGACTCATAGAGACCCTATAGGACAGAGTAGAACTGCCCCATAGGATTTTGAAGGCTATAAATATTCACAGAAGCATACTGCCTTATCTTTCTCCTGTGGAGCAGCTGGTAGGTTTGAACCACTCACCTTTTGGTTAGCAGTCACAGGTTTTAACCAGTGCACCATGAGAGTTCCTTCAGGTGGCAAGCAGATTCCTAATTCATTAGCTCAGGTTAATAGCCTTGCTCATGCCACAATCATATTTTGAAAAAGTTACAAAACCATGAAGTTCAGGTTATATATATATATATATTTTCAAATGGATCATTACAAGACAATCATTTTTTTTTATCTCACGTTAGCTTTCTGACACTTGTCTCATATCTTCTGCTGTAATCCTTATGCAAGACGGCTTATTTCCTGTTTTGCTGAGAAAATAATGGTCACCTGATGTGTGCTCTCTCATCTATTTTCTCTTATTTTCTAGTAGTACTTCCTAATCTCTGCTTTCAATATGGAATGCACAGTTGTCCCTGTTTTCTACATATACTGTGGAATCTTGCTTCCCTAAATCACTTCTCTATGCATAAAACCAAACCAAAACCAAACTTATTGCTATTGAGTCATTCTGACTTATAGTTACCATATAGGACAGTGTAGAACTGTCCCATTGGGTTACCAAGGCTGTAAATCTTTATGGAAGTAGATGGCCACATCTGTCTCCACAGAACAGCTGGTGGGCTTGATCTGCCAATCTTTTGGTTAGCAGCTGAGCACTTAACCATTTGCCCTTCCAGGGCTCCTCTATATAAAGCAATTACAACCTCTTCTCTTTCCCCTCTCTTCTCATTCAACAAAAGGGGAAGTGGTTTTTGTCTCTTCTTTTTAGTTTGGGGCAGGAGATGTTTGTGTATAAGTGGAGTACCTCTAAAAACAGCCCACTGTCATCAAGTTGATCCTGACTTACTAAACGCTTACTAAATGTGATGCACTGGTTTAGATTCTTGGAATATACCCCAAAAATCCAAACCTGTCACCATCAAGTCAATTTCGACTCACAGCGACCCTATAGGACAGAGTAGAACTGCCCCATAGGGTGTCCAATGCTGTAATATTTATGCAAGCAGATGGCCGCATCTTTCTCCTGAGGAGCATCTGGTGAGTTTGAACAAATGACTATTTGGCTAGCCACCAAACACGTCTCCACTGTGCCACCAGGGCTTCCTTCCTTGGAATATATCAGTTATATCAGTGAGCAAATCCTCATAGAAGTGATATTTTAGTGGCGGGAGGCAGACAATAAACAAGTACATAAATCCTCATATTTACAGTTTAAGGGGAAAAATAACACCGAGGAGAAGAAGTTGGGAAGAGAAGAGGTGTGTGTGTCAATTTTGGGTGGGTGATCAGAAGAGGCTTTACTGGGAAATTAACATTTAAACAGCATTTTGAAGGAAATGAAAGAACAAGCTTTGTAGGTATCCTGGGAAGAGTTTCCTAAGCAGAGAAAACTGCAAATGAAAACCCACAATGTGGGACTTGCTTGGCCAGCTTTTTAACAGCAAAGAAGTCAGTTTGGCTAGTGTGTGTGAGCACATCACTTAGTATGCATTGAAGTCAGGGAAGGAATAAAAGCCAGATTATATGACACCCTGAAGCCTATTGTAAGGAGTTTAGCATTTAGCCTGGGAGAACTGGGGATTAGCCTGGGAGAACTGGGGAACCATTTGAGGGTTATGATAAAGTAAATGCCATGACCTGCCCTATGTTGATGGAAGCAAGAAAAACTGAAAATTCTTCCATATGGGAAAGATTGAGTTAATGGGTGAAATATAGCTGATGAGTAAGATGATGTCACTGAGAGAAATCATTTGAATTTAGAAATGGTGTCCTCAGAAAGACCGGTTTTGGTAGAATTGAGGGAAAGTCTGAGAAGAGTGTGTCTGAGAACAAGAGAAGATGAAGTTAAGAGTTTAACCACTTGCACCACTAGGGCTCCTCTATACAAAAAATTGAAGACTTTTTTTTCTTTTGTGATTTGGGTGAAGATTTACAGAGCAAATTCACTTTCCATACAGCAGTTCACATACACTTTATCTCATGACATTGACCACAATTTACCACAATGCAATAGCTCCCCACCCATTTCCTCCCGACAGTTACCTCTTCCCTGTGTCCATCCCTCCATGCACTCCTGCCCCCTGAGCTGTCTCCCTGTGCGTAAGTAGCCCTTCTTTCTCCCATGATTGTTCTCTCCAAGGAGTGTGTCTACCTCAGGTAACTCATATGCCTGTCTTTTGTTTGTCTGGAAGCCAAATGACATATCTGACAAGGGACTTCTCAGTCCCTTGTGGGTTCAATTCCAGACCTGAAGTGTAGCTAGGGGCCATAGTTTCAGTGCTTTTACCAGGCTCTATCAGACCAGCAAACCTGGTCCCCCCTTTAAAAAAACTGAAAACTTTTGAGTGCAGAGGAGTAAAGAAATGTGGCCAAGAGTGGAAAGGGGAAGTGGTTTTTGTCTCTTTGTTTTAGTTTTGGGCAGGAGATGTTTGAATGTAAGTGGAGAACATCTAAAACAGCCCTCACTAGGTTGATGGGAAGGGGGGTTGGGGGGGAACCACTGCTATCAAGTTGATGCCGACTTACCAAAAAAACCAAACTCACTGCCATCCATTCGATTCACAGGTTTCTGAGGCTGTAAATCTTTAGGGACCTATATTGCCCCACCTTCCTTCTGGCAGAACAGCTGGTGGGTTTGAACCTCCAACCTTCTTGGTTAGCAGTCAAATGCCTTAGGCACTACGTTGCCAGGCTGTAAATATTCACAGAAGTAGACTGCCTAATCTTTCTCCCGTGGAGCGGAACCGCCAAAGACCTTTTGGTTAGCAGCTCAGTGCTTTAACCATAGCGCCACCAGAGATCCTGATGGGGGCCAGTAGCCTCCCAGTTAGTCTTCTCAACCTTGAGGCTTCTTCCCTTCTACTCTTTCTGAATACACTGCTTATGCGATGCATCTTCCTAAATCGTAACTCATACCATTTCACTATCTACTCAAAAATCTTTAGGGTCCTCATTTGCTTTATGACAAGTTCAAATTTTTTAGCTGAATATTCATATCTCCTCCAGTTTGGCTTTTTGCCATCACCCTCTTCGGTAAGCCCTGTGAGGTACAAAATCTGCCAGACCGGAGTCAAAAGACTAGAAAAAGTCACGATTCTGTAAATAACTTGCTATGTGACCTTGGACAAATTACGTAAGTGCATCAGGCCTCGCTTCCTTCTTTAGGAAGGAGGTGTGTCGCGTGGACTAGTGGTATCTCTAGGTCACTATCATCTCTAAAAAGCCGCAATTCTCAGCTTCCTCGCAGCCACAAGCTAGTCTCTTCAACCCGCTTTACCGCTTCTACATCGATGGACTAGCTGATTTGTTTGGCCACTTATTTTTCCTGGTTCGCTTTTGTCTTTCCAAAATAGACCACACTTTAGAAGAGGCACAGCAGCAGCTCCCTTAAGGTCTGCCGCTCCCCGCCACCAGGACCTGCCTCCCACTCTTCCTTTCACTAGGGACCGTCCTCTTTACAGTCAGAAACCGCCACGTATTAAGTGCCGCTTCCAACCAATCAAGAAAAAGTTATCTCAGGCCTTTAAGGGGCATGTGCTTCTACCAATGTTCTTCCAAGATCTCTCCAGCGCCTCGCTTTGAGAGGCGAGACCAATCTCCGCGATGGCAAATCGGCTTCGGGTAAAGGTATTCCGGGAGCAGCGGGGTTCACCAATCCTCTAAGAAGGCTGCGGGAAGAGGCATTTCTCATTGGGTTATCGTGTCCGAAAGAGGGCCAGGCTACTGGCGACAAAAGTACGATTTGATTGGACTGAGTGTTGTAGACAACCGGGGAAGGTTCACCTTCCCCAACCCGGCAGCCTTGGTCTTCGGAGTGGCAGTGGCCGCAGCCAATCGTGGGACAGACGCACTCCAAGTTTCCTCAATGGGCGATGTCCGAGGGAAGCTGTCAGTCAGGTGGCGGTGGAGAAGGCCGGGCTGAGACGTGGCCCGGGGAAGGCGGCTGTCTGTCCAGGCCGTCACGGCAGCGGTAGGGTCCTTAGCGCTTATTTTCCTTGGTGGGGGGCTCCGTGCTGCTGGAGAGGCGGGCGCCAGCGACTGCGCATCCATGACCGCGCGCGGGGCGGGCCGCTGATGGAGCGCGCCACCTGTTTGGGGCCGCTCGTGCGGGCGTTGCTGATGTTGCTCCTGTGGCTCGCGGCGGGAACTGTGGCTGCTGGGCGCTTCCGCGACCTCCCAGCTCCTTCGGAGGACACTGCGTTCGGCCTGGGAGCCGCGGCCGCTCCCACTTCGGCTACCCGGGTGCCGGCGGCGGGGGCTGTGACTACGTCTGAGGTGACGGTGGAAGACGCCGAGGGGCTGCCTGCGACCGCGGGCGAACAGGAACTGCAGCAGTCGGAACCCACCGAAGAGGCGGCGCTGCGGCCGCGCGGCAGGTGAGGGGGCGCGGGCTTGGAGCTGGGGCTACAGACCCCCCGGAGGCACCTTGTTTACGTATGCGAGCAGAGGGGACTTGGAGGCCTGGGCGTGGGGTCCGGCATCCTTCCTCGGCTGCAGAGGACAACTCGTAATTGGAGGTGAGCAGTGGAACCCGGGCGAGTGCAGGGCCGCGGCAACTTCCCACCCCCCAGGGCCAGCGACTGGCCTGGGCTCAGCTCTCGAGGGTTTGATCCTCGCTCGCCGGCAACAGCGGTGTCCTCACAGTTGTTGGGGTGATGATCCCAGAATAGAGCGTAGGGTTTGGAAAGAAACGCCACTTTCCCTCTGTCATTATTTTCGGGTTTAATTCAGGCTCCAAGGAACTTTTTCTCCCCCTTTTATCTTAAGCGAATCACCGCATGTTGTACTGTTTTGACAGCTGGTTTGGGAAAGGCCTTTCGTTAGATTTCCCTTTAAACGCAACCTGGTAGTGCCCCCAGACGAGGGCTGAGGTTAGTATTTCTCTAATTGAGATCTGAGGAACACCTGCATCAGAATCACCTGGGGATGCTGGTTAAATGTTCAGTTTCCTGGGCCCCACCGCAGTTACTGAATGAGATTTTTCTGAGAAGGAAGCTCTAATCTGCATGTTTAACAAGCACTACAAATTTGTTATCAAACTCGCACTGAAGTTTGAGAGCTATGGTTAGTTCTTGAATATTGGCAGGTTTTTTTTTTTTTTTTTGGTAGGATAAATATATAGAGAGGTTTCTCAACTGAGGACATTTTAGCCTTAAAAATGTTATTTCATGATACATGTTTTCAAGCACTTTTCAAAGTCTACACACAAATGTAAGACATTTCAATCTTAAAGTGTTTTGCAGATAGCTAGTCTTAACACACCCAGGGAAAAAGTGTTGTCCCTTTTAATGAATGGAATGATAAAAGGAACATTAGGTAATCTGAACTAGGAAGGGCTAGCATCTGGATTAGAAAGTATTGTAAACTTATAATGTAATAATTGCTGGAATATAACAAATTAGATTTAATTTTTAATAAGACATCAGAAACTTGATCTGTATACCTGGAGACCACTATAAATTGGATAAGTACTAAAATTCTTGAGGCACTATTTGAATATGTACAGTGGGTTTTGTTTTGTTTTTAGTAGCAAATATTTAACACATTTTCTTAGGTTCTACTTATGAGTCACCTCCTGGAAGTGTTTTTGTTTGTCTTAAAGAAACTTCTAAAGCGTTCTGCTCAAAGTAAATTACATGAAATAAAGTGAGATGCTTTGTTTTTCTTGGAATACAAATCCACTTCAGCCAGTACTTACTGGCACTTAACACAAGATGCCCTTAGGATACAGAAGTTAGGTAGATAGTCCCCGTCCAGGAATTTACTGTCTAGGAATGAAGATAAAATGAGGAGACCCTTAATGGTGTTGGAGCCCCTGAGTGGTGCAAAACAGTTTACAGTTGATTAGTAACCTAAAAGTTGATTATTTGAACCTACTCAGTGGTACCACAGAAGAAACACCTGACATTCTGCTTCCTTAATAAAGATGATATGGAGCAGTTCTATTCTGAATACATGGGGTTGCCATAAGTCAGAATCAGCTCAATGGCAGTAAGTTTGGTTTTGAGTTTTAGTATTATGGCATATCAAGCCAGAGCAGAAACAGTGCAAATTAAGTGCCATGGGTGTCCTAAAGTTTTGTGGTATTTGGAGGGTGGCATGTGACAGTGATTTAGGTGAGAACATAAGAAAAGGCTGTGGGAGAATGATTTGGTTCTTGAAAAGTGGGTAGAATTGTGATGGGCAGACTCTAAGGAAAGAACAAGAAGCACAGATGCTGGAAAGTATGTTTAGGGAACAGTTTCTCTCCATACATCTTTTTGTGTGTGTATTTGTGGTCTGTGTGTGTGAGGGATATAGACATACACATGTATGCTGGGCAGAGAGGAATAGAAAGTGAGGGTGGAAAAATAGGTTGGGGCCACATTATATGTAGCCTCATGAGTAGCATCATCATTACCTAGGAGCATATTAGAAATACAGAATCAAAAAGAAATATTCTCATAGCTAAAAACACAAATAAAAGAAAGAACAGAGAATCAGGCACCATCCCAGACTCATTGAATGAGAATGTGCATTTTAGCAAGATCACCAGGTGATTGGCATGTGCATTATATTTGAGAAATACTGTGTAGAGTAGCTTGAGTTCCAGACATGATCAGAGTTTTGCTTTAGAAATATTCTCTAGCAACAGTGTATACTGAAAACTAGAGATAAGGATACTAAAATGAGAATGTTATAGCAATTTAGATGAGAGATTTTAGTATTAAATGGGTATAGAACCAACAAGACAGATTTGAGAAATATTTGAGGCAGAATTGTGGTTCTTGGCAAATGAATTGTTTCCTTCTCCCTTGGCATCCCAGTCCAAAGATTGACACTGGGTGGCCAGAGGTAAGAGATTTGGAGGAGCAGGAAAGAAGAGGTATAAGGGGTTTGGTGTTGACATGATGACTTGGCTAGGACATCCAGATAGAGCTATTTGGTAGCTATTTGGCAGTAGGTTTGGATTTTTTGGGGCTCTTGATGATGGTGTGGACATCCTCAGCTTAATGGACGTTTTGACAACCTCAGAGGTTAAAAAGTATATCCTATCATACTAATTTGCAAAGTATATATGGTAGGCAGGTGGAAATGAGGGACTAGAGTTGGAGAGAGAGTAAAGTCATGGTAAAGAGTTGCAGCCTTGAGACACTGGAGCAGAACCTAAGCCAGCAATAGAAATAAATACAGCTGGCTGTGTTGGAGATACACGCCGAAGAGTTAAGAAGAGTGAGGAATGTGGTGCTGAGCAGTGGAGACAGTACTCAGATTGCAGGAGGTTAAGGACTCATCTCTCTGTTCCGCTGCTCTCCGTCCCTCACTGTCAAACTTGATGGGGGGGGCAATTTTCAGGATTGGGGACCTGTGATCTTATTTATAGGCTAAGGGGAAGAAGCCTGCATGGACAGGTTGAAAGTGAAAGGAATGGACCAGGAGGTAAAGGAAGTTGGAAAGTATCCTCTTGGGAAACAGGAGGGCTGCTGCTTTCTTTGGAAACAAGAAGAGTGAAAGTAGAAAATTTGCCTGGCAAAGACCAAGTGATCTCCTGCAAACAGAATGGGCAAGAAAGATGTAGGTTCTGGTTTTAGGGGTCTGCCTGGGAGTGTGAACTTAATATAGTGGGGAAAGTTTGAGAAACCCTGGGTGAGGAAATTGATAAAGTCAACAGGAGATAAATATGCAAAGTTTCTAATTTTTCCAAGTGCTCTTCTTATTTTTTTTTAAAAAAGGAAAGGTCCTAAACCAGAGAATATCAGTTCCATAATAATAGACCAATATTCTGTTTGTTTCAAGAAGGAGAATTATGAAAACAGATTTGAATTAACCAAGCGTTTATTACAAACAGTTGTGAAGAACTGTGGTGCTTGCAGAACTTTAAAAAAGTGGGAGGTGGGGAATTAAGATCTTTATTTTTGTTTGTTGTCTTTTGATGCTCAAGAAGCAATATGAGACTCTCTGTTTTGTGTTTTTTTCTCTTGATTGAATTTTCAGCTCTTCATTGTTTTCATTTTAAATGTTTTTTCCGCATCTCAAGCATGCAAATAGTAGAGAAATGAATTTTCCTTTAAAAATAGATAAAATAAACTTGGTTTTCTTATAGCAGGCTTGTCAATTTTAAAACATAACATTTAGTCACTACAGAAAGTTGGGAAATACTCATCTGATCTCAATATTAGGTTTTATACACATTGACATAATCATGAGTTACTGGTTTCTTGACTGCATCATACATAGCAAATTTGCAAGTGTTGGTTGGGGCTCTCAGGAATTCTGGTAGCACAGTCACTAAGGCATCTGACTGCTAACCAGAAGATTGGGGTTCAAACCCACCAGCCACTCCATAGAAGGAAGACTGGGCAATCTACTTCTGTTAAGATTTACCACCTCGGAAACCCGATGGGGGTTGCTGTGGTCGGAATCCACTTGATGGCAGTAGGTTTGGTTTGTTTTTTAGTTGGGGCTCTTGATGATGGTGTGGACATCTTCAGCTTACTGGACATTTTGACAACCTCAGAAGTTATAAAATATATCCTATCATACTAATTTGCAAAGTATGTATTCCTTTTTCCCTGTCTTTCATTCCCCTCTAACAAATATATTACTAAATTTTATATTAATCTATTGTACTTCCTCCATTCATGCATCTGTAAACGGAATTTTGGGGGTTAAATGAGATAACATGAAACTACTTTGCAAGTGTAAGATCATTTAAGTTCTCTTTATTTCTCTTTGCTTCTCCTTTAACAAACTGACCTGCTATGAAATAAAGTTACAGAAATGTGTTTAGATTTTCAGATTTATAATCATGCTAAAATAAACAAAACAACCCTAACAGGACCATTGAATAATAGAATTTCAGAAAGCAGTGTTGAACTGAGTCATCTATCTAGTCCCTATACAGCTCCCTCTTCTGACTCCAGACTTATAAAGTTGACTAAAATCACATTTAGAGAACAATTTATACATACCTTTCAGAGTTGTAAGCCACAGTAAACATACTTTGGGCAAATTATGACTGTGCTTCTTCTCTAAATTGTCTTTTTAGCTTGATTGATGCCTGGACTCTGGATATAATATGAGAAAGGTTGGGGGAGTCTGTGCTCTTTATTCAAGATCAGCTCTTTGTGCTGTCAGGCATTTTGCAGGAGGGGCCTACTTCCATCAGTTGCTGTGAACTGTAGCTTCTACCTCGCTCTTCATTCCCTAAATACTGCTCGGAAAGTCCGTGTGCTTTTCCCTTTCTGTAACAGAAGAGCTGCTTGTACATTAAATTATACGCTAAATGGGAAGGGGAAGATTGTACTTTTTTTTTTTTTTTTTTTAACCATGTTTCAGTAGTAAATAATTTTGATTAAAAATACTTCGTAGGATAAAAGAGAAAAAAGTCCTTCCA